TCTGAGTTTTCTGAGGTTCTGGGAGAGTTCTAGCTGTTCTGGAGTTCTGGAGTTTTCCACTGCTGAGTGGAACTTCGGACTCAGTTTTCCAGTCTGACAGAGTCATCCATCTATGCTGTGGTCACGGCGCCTCACTGTGACTTCCCCCGGGCGAATGCCCTACGGAGTATCTCATGACTTCTGCCGAGTCGCAGCTGCCCTGAGGAGACGCTGAAAGGTAGCGTGCCAGGGACCTCTTGACCATAGCGGACCCATCCTCTGCCAAGGTAAAGAGTCGTCACGAGTTTCACTACAAGTGTACTGCGGGCGAACTGCGCTTGAAAGGAGCGTGTTGTTCTGGTCTACAGACATACATCTTCCTTCAACATCTTCCTTTAAACTCCTCCATATTTCCCATCTTTAAAACTCTTCTATCCTGCCAGTAATTAATCCAGATGCCTTCAGAAATGTCTGTTGTTTTTATTAAGTAAAACGTGCCAAGTTTTATTAATCAGACCCAGACCAGTCTAATCAAGTGTACAATGTTTTGATGTTAAAATTTTGATTCTGTGAATAAATGACCACATTTATTTTGATGGGTCAAAGAAAATTAGCGTCTCATGTCACTGATTAAACCATCTACGCACAGTTACCTCTGTCACATATCTGTAAGTAGCTCGAAAAAGAGAGAACCCGTTATTTTAAATATGACTGTAGTGAAGCTCTGAAGCTAACCTAGCCCTTTAGAACACTACATAATACTGTTTAAGATATTCCATATTTCTTTAATATTATGTTTTTTCATCCATTTTCTTTTTGTAATATTCTTTGTTGCAGAACATTCTTCTGGTTTTCACCAGATTCTTCCATTGTTTCTGTCCAAGCTAAAATGTGCAAAAATGCAGCACAGATTCTACCATCATTCAATAAAAATGAAGCCAAAACATAAAAGCTGTGTGTGCAAAACTGAGTCCACCACTGATGATCAAATGTATTGATCAAATCAGTGTGATCAGCTCTATAAAAACAGCTGTTTATCATCCTAAAAAGGGTTAAAGGTTATTTCAAATTATTTGTCGTCCATCATTCTATGATGTGAAGAATTATTCATGAGTATAAAAAGACTGGAGACAGCTGACAAGCTTCTCAAGAGGCAAATGTCAGAAAATTCACCCCAGGGGCAGACCATGCAATGCTTGGTAAAAACTCAAGAGCGCATTTAAAAAAAAATTGGTCAGAACAGCTTAGATTTGGAAACGTGCATCTGAATGAACCACAAGACTTCTGGAACCATGAGACCAGAAACTAGATGTGTGACCATCGGGGCGGCTGTGGCTGAGTAGTTAGAGCAGTCGTCCTCCAATGTGAGAGTTGGGGGTTCAATTACACCAACAGTCACATGCCGAAGTGTTCCTGGGCAAGACACTGAACCCCTCATTGCCTCCGATGTGTCCCATCGGTGTATGAATGTGATAAAGCACTGATTATTCTTAGAGTGCTGTATGAACGGGTACAAGGGCACAGAAATTGTTTTGAGTATCTTGATAAGATAGAAAGGCTCTGTAAAAGTACAATCCATGGTGGTGAAGGGCCAATGGTTTGGGCTTGTCTTGCTCCCAAATGGGCCTAGGCACCTTGCAATCACTGAGTCAACTATCAACTCCTCTGCAGAGAAACAAATGTGAGGTCCTCTGTTTGACAGCTGAAGTTTGGACCAAAGTGGGTCGTGATGCACCGGGACACGGATCCTTGACTTGAAAAGAGATTGGCTGAAAAAAAAAGAATCAAGGTGCTGCAACGGTCCAAAGTCCAGTCTTTACACTTCAGAATCAGAATAAACTTTATTGTCATTGCACTAAGATACAACGAGAACATGTACGTACAGTCGTCCGAAAGATGGGCGGAGTGGACGAAGATGCTGCTATGGAAGCGCGGCCCTCTTATTCTTATTCAGAATAATATTTTGCTTAGATGAGAAAAGGGAAGAAAACATGAGGAGAGACGGTATAAAAAAAAAAGATCTTTCACGCTGTGTCCTAGACAGGGCACGATTTGAGGCATTAAAAAAAAAAAAAAAAACTACCACAGCATAACACATAAATAGACGTGATACATGTGCATATAGTGAATTGCAGTTTCTGCCTTTTAAAGTCTGGCTGGTATATTCCTCTGATGGAAACTCAAAACAGCCGAATTAATTCCTTAAAGTCGAGCTCACAGCTTCTTCAAGATTATTCCTACCTTCATGTGTGCTGCTACACAGTTCACAGTCCTGATAACAGCTGCTCCATCTCTCTGATACAACCGCACATAATTCAGTCAGAGCGCTGCCGAGCTTCGACACATCCACACAAATTTATAGACAATCCAGATTTCACCAGCCAAACAGCAAAAAAAAAAAAAAAAACCCAGTTGTCATCATAATCCAATTTGTTTCCGTCGAGGTAAGAGGGTCCTCCTTACCCTGACTCCTGTCGGGAGAAGTTGACCAATTTTGTTGAGAGACCAGCTGATCCTTCGAATTAGGAAGGTATGCAGTAAAAAAAAGCTCTGTAAAGGTTCATAGGACGAAAGAGTGCAGAAACACGTCTGACTTCACCCGAGTACAGAGAAAAAAAAATGTTGCTGAAATGTTGTGGCAGGATCTTAAGAGAGCTGTGGAAAAATTCACGTTTGAAAACCTCAATGAACTGAAGCTGTGTTGTCTGTGGAATCTCTCATGTACTTTTGTACATTTGAGGTTAGATTTGAATACTTTTTACAACCTGAATGTCCAGATATGAGCAGCCAGCATAACTCAGTATGAAAATAAGAGTGCAGTGAGGTGCTGTGGATGTCTCACCAAAAGCCTGACGCTGCCCAGCACTGCAGTGGTCAGTATTCCTGTGAAGAAGGCCACAAGGTTCAGGCTGGCGAGGGTCCAAATTAAAACATACAGCGTGAAGACGTCTTTACAGCTTTGCACGCCAACAAACTCATAGTAGCTGTTGAGGTAGCCTCCACTGTGGAACAAAGTAAACATTCTGCTCATTCAGAAATATTTCATCAAACCAACATATAAATCCTAGCTGTGTAGTTATAATCAAAATACAAAAAAAGGATTAGATTTATTCATGTTTGAAGGCTGGTGCAGTGATAGTTATTTTTGGGCAGCACGATGGATCAGTGGTTAGCACTGTTGCCTCACAGCAAGAAGGTCCTGGGTTTAATCCCTGGTTTAGACCTGGGGTCCTTCTGGGTGGAGTTTGCATGTTCTCCTTGTGTTTGCACGAGTGTTCTCCGGGCTCTCCGGTTTCCTCCCACAGTCCGAACACATGCACTTTAGGCCTCCCTTGCAAAAGAGATCTGTGATCTCAATGGGATTGGCCTGTTTAAATAAAGGTTAATAATAATAAAACTGTTATAGTAATGATTCGTCTCACTTGGCGCAGTCGTACAGGTCGCAGCAGTAACAGGTGCCACTTCGAACCGATATGGTACATGACTCCTTTAGACTCCAACATGTCACCTGAAAAAGATA